TGAACTTACTCGTGAATGCAGGTCTCTTCGAGAAATGGTACAGCGAGCACTAATTGGAGAGCCCGAACGCACTCCGAGGGAGCAAATGATCAAGGCACCCGAACCAAGCACCTACAATGGGACTCGGAGTTCCACCGCAGTGGAGTCCTTCCTCTTCGGCATGGAGCAATACTTTGACAATGGAGGAATCTCGGGGGAACAAATCAAAATCAAAGGCGCAGCCATCTACCTTCGAGACCTCGCCCAATTGTGGTGGAGACGCACCTTACTGGACCAAGAGCGACCCATCGTCACTTGGGATCAGTTCAAGACTGCCCTCCGGCATCAATTTGTGCCTACCAATGCACGAGACGAGATCCGAACCAAGTTTCGGCGTCTACGTCAAACAGGGAGTATCGCTGACTATATACGTGACTTTACGGCTTTATTACTTGAACTAGGAGATGTTTCTGATCAAGATGCCTTATTTCATTTTAAGGATGGTCTTAAAGATTTTGCTAGGATGGAAGTGGTACGCCGGGAAGCTCACACGTTGAATGCAGCCATTGCCATTGTGGAGAGTCTCACAGATTACTCCGCAAACCGACCAAACCAACCCTCACAGTCTAAGGATGGAAACAAGTCACGCTCTCATCAAACCAACCAAGGACAACCTCGTACCGATAGGCCTAGCTCCGGGAACAGCAGCGGACCAACGATTGTCCCAAGGACCTCATTGGGTCCGAGATTGTCCCAAGCAAAAGAAGATGAATGCTGTAGCTAAGCAAGCCGACAAAGACAAGGAGAAAGGCAAAGGCAAAGTCTCCGAGGACGAGGAGCTAGCCATTGTTGGATCCTTACACCGATTCAACACCTTGTCCAAGAAGGCAACACCGGGAACTAGCAAGAACAAGGAACCTATGACCAAAGGACTCCTATACGCGGACGTCGAAATCTATGGTAAACTCGTTCCCGCTATGTTTGATACCGGTGCTTCACATAATTTCATGGATGTAGGTGAGGCGAGTCGATAGCCATTGTTGGATCCTTACACCGATTCAACACCTTGTCCAAGAAGGCAACACCGGGAACTAGCAAGAACAAGGAACCTATGACCAAAGGACTCCTATACGCGGACGTCGAAATCTATGGTAAACTCGTTCCCGCTATGTTTGATACCGGTGCTTCACATAATTTCATGGATGTAGGTGAGGCGAGTCGATTGAAGCTTAAGGTGGACAAGAATGGGGGGACGGTTAAAGCGGTTAACTCTCCGGCCCAATCCGCTTCCGGCATTGCTCGCGATGTCCGGATCCGCATTGGTGATTGGATAGGGAAGACCAACTTTACTATCCTTCCCATGGATGACTTTCGGATTGTGTTCCGTAAGTACATTCCTTCCCGCAGCCGCCACTGCAATGGTTATTGTCGACCATGACAAGCCAACTGTGGTGCCCCTTCGATCCGCTCCATCCACAACCACTCCCACACTCACAGCCATGCAATTCAAGCGTGGAGTGAAGAATCCGGACTGCTTCCTTGCAACAGTCCGTGAGCTCAACAACTCGGACGAGACGGATGCTTCGGATCAGCCCACGATCCCGAGAGAGGTATGTAATGTCCTTAACGAGTTTGTTGATGTGATGCCAGAGGAGCTGCCCAAGAAGCTTCCTCCAAGGCGTGGAATCGATCACGCCATTGAACTTGTCCCCGGAGCAAAGCCACCGGCGATGGCCCCCTACCGAATGGCGCCACTCGAGTTGGCCGAACTCAAGAGGCAACTTGAGGACCTCCTAGACGCCGGGTACATCCAGCCCTCCAAGGCGCCCTATGGAGCTTCGGTTCTCTTCCAAAAGAAGAAGGATGGTTCCTTGCGGATGTGCATAGACTACCGCGCACTCAACAAGGTAACCGTTAAGAACAAATATCCGATTCCTTTGATAGCTGACCTCTTTGATCAGCTTAAGGACGCACGGATCTTCTCCAAGCTCGACTTGAGGTCGGGTTATTACCAAGTGCGCTTGCTGAAGGAGACGAGCCAAAGACCGCTTGCATAACGAGGTATGGGTCGTTCGAATTCAAGGTAATGCAATTCGGTCTCACGAATGCACCGGCAACCTTTTGCACTATGATGAACCAGATTTTTCATGATCTCCTTGACAAGTTCGTTGTAGTGTACTTGGACGATATTGTTGTGTATAGTTCGTGTTTGAGTGAGCATGTAGGTCATCTTCGAACCGTGTTGAAGATCCTCCGAGACAACGAGCTGTATATCAAACTCGAGAAGTGCTGCTTTGCACAACCCGAGGTCGAGTTCTTGGGCCACTACGTCAAAGACGGACAGTTGCTCATGGACCCGAAGAAAATCAAAGCAATTGCCGAGTGGACCGTGCCAAAGACCTTACCACAACTTCGGTCTTTTCTCGGTCTAGTCAACTACTATCGGAGATTCATCCTTGGATACTCCTCCATAGCAGCCCCACTCTCGGATATGCTCAAGAAGGACCGCAAATGGAAGTGATCCGACCAATGCCAAATGGCATTCGACAAGCTCCGGACCTTAGTGTCCGAGGAGCCCATCATGGCCTTACCCGACATAGGTAAGCCTTTTGAGGTACATTCCGACGCTTCCGATTTTGCAATTGGTGGAGTTTTGATGCAGGGTTTGCAACGCTTTAGCAACGTTTGTCAACGAAAAAACTTTGCAACGCATTAGCAACGAATTCAAACGTTTTTGCAACGCTTTGCAACGCATTTTTTTTCGTTGCTATGTAGCAACGAAAACTGCGTTGCGACTTGCAACGATTAGCAACGTTATTTGACGGGCGAAAATGTTGCAACGCTTTTGCAATGCAACGACAACGCCTAGCAACGCTTTTACAACGCAACAATTTCGTTGCTATTAGCAACGAAAATTTCGTTGTAACGTTTAGCGTTTTGCAACGCATTTGCCACGCAATCCAATTTCGTTGCTACGTAGCAACGCAACGATTTTGTTGCTAATTGTATTAGCAACGAAAATTATTCGGTGTCAGAATTGCGCTTTCTGGTAGCAACGAAATTGCGTTGTAAGTGTTTTTTGTAACGCAATTTCGTTGCTAATCTAGAAAACTAGCAACGAAATTGCGTTGCAAAACGGTGAAGTCTATTAACCGGTTTTTACGTTGCAACAAAATTTCGTTGCTAGTTTTCTAGATTAGCAACGAAATTGCGTTGCAAACATTTTTATAAAATCCTTCCCTCCTCTCTCTTCTCGTTCAAACTTCAAAAAATCGTAAAAAAAATGACATCGAGTGGAGGTGATATTTATCACTCTAAACGATGGTTATACGAGAGAATTGATGCATCTACGGGCAGTTTAAGCATCCAGTATGAAGAGGGGTTGCAGAATTCATGCAATTTGCGACAAGTCAGAATCAGTGCGTAAGAACGGGTAAAATATATTGTCCGTATGCACAATGTGAAAATACTAAATTCCTTACTCCAGAGGTGGTTCTAAAACATCTATTCAAAAGAGGTTTTGTTCCAAATTATTATGTATGGGTTTATCACGGTGAAACGCTCGATGTTGTTAATATTCCTACCATTAACGACAAATTTGTTGGGAGGCTATCTAACCGTTACGTTGATATGGTTCAAGATGCATTCCCTTCTCAGTTTTGTTCTAACAGGGAAGATGATGAAGAACCGAACAACGAATCAAAGAAGTTTTTTGATTTGTTGGAGGCAGCTAATCAACCTATATATGAAGGGTGCGTAGAAGGATTATCCCAATTATCTCTTTCAGCACGAATGATGGGCATGAAGTCGAGTTATAATCTGACAGATAATTGTATGGACGAGGTATGCCAGATGATGACTGATTATCTTCCTGGAGGTAACCATGCTCCTGATTCTTTCTACAATATGTCTAAACTCATGGGTTCATTAGGCATGAGGGCTATCAAAATCGATGTATGCCAGAACAACTGCATGATTTTTTGGTCTGGAGATGATAAAGAGCTATCGAATTGTCGATTTTGTGGAGCTGATCGATTCAAACCCAGGAAAAATGTGCAACGTAAAAGAGGTGTCGTATAAACGGATGTTTTATTTGCCGATAGCAGACAGATTGAAGAGATTATATGAATCTCACAAGACAGCATCTCAGATGCGTTGGCACGGAGAACATGTTTCAGATTCAGGCAACATGCATCATCCATCAGATGGTGAGGTATGGAAGCATTTTGTGCAGCTATATCCTGATTTTGCCTGTGAGGTGAGAAATGTTTATCTGTGTTTATGCACCGATGGATTTGCACCGTATGGTCAGTCTGGGAAACAATATTCATTATGGCCAATTGTGTTGTCGCCGTATAATCTACCGCCGGAAATGTGTTTGAAAAGAGAGTTTTTATTTCTGACGATATTACTGTCGGGACCTTCTCATCTGAAGAAGAGTTTTGATGTGTTCCTCCAACCTTTGATTGATGAATTATTGATGTTGTGGGAACAAGGTGTTGATGCGTATGACGTTTCAACAAGGCAGAACTTCAACTTGAGAGCAGTGTTGATGTGGACAATCAGTGATTTTCCGGCTTATGGAATTTTGTCTGGGTGGAGTACTCATGGACGTTTAGCATGTCCTTATTGCATGGATGAGATTGATTCATTCCAATTAAAACATGGACGGAAACCATGTTGGTTTGATTGTCATCGCAGATTTTTACCATTGGATCATCCATGGAGGCGCAACAAAAAAAATTTTAGACGGAACAAAGTTGTGAACAATCCAAGGCCTCTTCTCCTGACGGGTGATGAAATATTGTACGAGCGTATCGATAGCATTTTCGGCTTGCAAAAAACAACCGAATGGGCATTCCAAACCACATGAGTATGGTGATTACCATAATTGGTATAAACGAAGTATCTTTTGGGATTTACCGTACTGGCGTATTCATAGACTTCGTCACAATCTCGATGTCATGCATATTGAGAAGAATTTTTTCGATAATATCATCAACACACTCATGAATGTGAAAGGTAACATTTTTTCCATTTTTCCATTAATAATTTTGTGGTTATTTAATTTATATACGTTTTGTTTAATGTAAATTTATTGTAGGTAAATCAAAGGATAACATCGCTTCAAGGATGGATGTTAAGGACATATGTTCTCGGAAAGATTTGGAGATCAGAGCAGATGGAAAAGCTCATGTTCCCATCTTCAGACTCTCTAAATATGAAAATCTTGCGATTTTAAAGTGGTTGAGAGATGAAGTGAAGTTTTCAGATGGATATGCTTCAAACATTGGAAGGTGTGTTGATCTGGAAGGTGGAAAACTACATGGAATGAAAAGTCATGATTGTCATGAATTTATGCAACGTCTACTTCCCGTTGTCATCGGTGAACTGCTACCACAACCTGTAACCGAAGCTTTATGCGGTACGTGTGCTTATTTCTAGTTAAAATTAACCACATACCCCCTTAATGTGAATTCATCCTCGAATTCATATGAAAATTAAGTTGGAATTTACGTACCAAATAGATGGGGGTAATGATCGCGCATCTTCTTCTCCGGTTCCCACGTCATGTCGGAGACTCCTTGACTCCGCCACAAGACTTTGACTAAGGGAATCTCCTTATTCCGCAATTGCTTCGTCTTGTAGTCCACGATTTGTAGCGGCTCATCCCGAAAGTGAACATTATGGGTAACCTCAATCTCCTACGGCCGTAGAATGTGGGATAGATCTGCCACATATTTCCGCAACATGGACACGTGGAATACATCGTGTATGTTGCCGAGTTCCGCCGGTAACTCCACGCGATACGCCACTGCTCCAACTTTCCCAATTACTGGATACGGCCCAATATAACTGATCACACGGATTTTTCACCGGTTTTATAACGTCGTGCATCACAATTCTTCTCACATTCTAGGCATTGTAGGACGTTAAATGGCCATGGGTAGGTTGTTTTGCTTGTTTTTCCTTGCAGGAAGACTCCACGATGAATCCTCACGAAGCGGGCACGGAAGAACAAGAATTCGAGAATGCTCGGGGAGCTCAGACAAAACGAGCGACCCGCCCATTTTATGGGCGGTCGCCCGTTTTGTGAGCGGTCGCCCATTTTATGGGCGGTCGCCCGTTTTGTGAGCGGTCGCTCATTTTATGAGCGGTCGCTCACTTTTTCGCGTGTCAGAGGAAAATGAGCGACCCGCCCAAAAAATGGGCGACCGGAAGAAAAATGAGCGACCCGCCTGAAAAATGAGCGACCGCCCGAAATCAAAATCGGCCCAAAAAGGAAAAGCCCGTATTTTGAGGAGAAAACCTAATTCTGGACTTTCACAAAAAGGGGAGTGGGAGGAGAGAGAATGGGGAGGCTACACACTTGGAAAAAAAATCACCTTGGAGAGGCAGAAAAGAGGGATTTTGGAGATCAAGGAGGCTAGGAGAAGAGGAGGACCACCATTGAAGACCATCTTGAGCATTTCTTCTCCTTTTCCATGTTTCTTCATTTTGCTTTCTGTTTTGAAACCCTAGTTATGGAGTAGTGACTTTGTTGTGGGTGAGGGATCCCCACTTTTGTATGGATACCTATGCTTAATCTATGATGTCTTTGAGTTTCTTCCATGGGTTTGATGTTTTGTGCTTAATGCTATTGATTTGGTTGAAACCCTAATTGATATGATTGTAGAACACATTGATCATAGGGATATGGGAATGATGTTTGGAACCAAATGTCAAATGAGTGAGTTATTCACATTGGGAGATGGCTTAACTTGCTTAGGGTTCATGATAGGGTACACTAATGCATCTAGAGATCATTTAGATCATTGGGAGATGGGTGAATCGATCCTCTAGGTAGTGAGTTTAAGCTTGGGAGAGACAAACTCTAGAAGAAGTGCTTGAAACCCCCATATGGAGGATAACCCATAGACATTGTAGCATCATTAACCATCCATGCGATTCTTGAGGGATCCCGAACCTACAACGCCTCAAACCATCGTTTTAGAAACCGTTAATTTTACTTGCTTTCTTGTATTCCGACCCTTACCATAAACCACATTTTTACTTGACCACCTAATCTAGCTTAGAGATAGACTAATACATCCTAGTCCTCGTGTTCGACCCCGGTACTACAGCTACCGTATACTTGCGGATAGTGGTACGAATCGGGTATTAAATATAAGACTCGATGCGTGCGCGCCAAGTTTTTGGCGCCGTTGCTGGGGACTAGGCATTTTCGTGTTAGTCTAGATTTTTGCTAGATCACCATTGCTTGGATATTTGCTTGGATTACTTTGCGACATAACCGTTTCACAGCACTTTCGGTTCGTTTTGTCTCTTTGGTGTGCAGCTCTTCCGGTGCATGACAAGAAGCACAACCGGTAGAGATCAACTCGTCTTCGACCCCGAAATAGAAAGGACCCTACGCTTCTCTCGTAGACAGCAAAGACAGTGGGGAATGGCCGAAGAAATGCTGAGAGAAAACAACGCACGAAGAGAACAACCCGAGATGGCCGAAGAGCTGTTGAGAGG